CCCTTCTCTGTCTCACTCGGGAGTCTGCGCAATGATTTTCTGCTCCAGTGGTTGATCAGGCACGGGACCAAAGGGCAAGCCAGCAAGAGCTCTGGGGAGAGACGCTTTTAGCAAGGGTTCGAGTGTCGCAGCCCAAGTGCAAAAGGGCCACCAAGAGGCTGCAAACACTGACTTTCCAAAGAGAAGCCAGAGTCCAAATGCTGGGTCTCAACCGCTCCCCTTGAGATCAAAGACATCAGAGGGTGGTCCACGGACCCCGGGCTCACAATATTAAGACATTGCCTACTTTTTATTTTTTAATACGTTAGAGGTGCTTCCAGAACTCCTCTTGAACCTACACAGCAGCTAGGAGGGCAGCATGCTCTTTACCTCACATTCTTTTGTAGAGATCTTGCCTCTAGAATTGTCTTCCCCTTTTACTGATCCGGGCTCTGAATCCACTTCATCTTCACAGGGCCTTAATTACAATAATTATCTCATCTTCCCCAAATCTCCAACTTCCCTGTCTTACTTTTCTTGAATGTGTAAACAGACGTTCCTTCAACCTAGATTGTTCTGCAGTGTCTGCAACCATGGAAATTACCTAGGAAACTATTTCTTAAGTGCAATACACATGACCTATTATAGTGACAGAGATCAGTGGTGGGACAGGCACTGTGGCATAGCAGTTAAAGTTACCACCTGCAGAGCTGGCATCCTATGGGCCTTGATTTGAGTCCCAGCTGCTCTACTGACCCAGCTCTTTACTAACGTGCCTGGGAAGATAGCCATGTCCTTGGGTCCCTATACCCATATGGTAGATCCAGAGAAAACTCATTGCTCCAACCTAGCACAGCCCCAGCTGTTGCACTCACTTACAGATGAGCCAACAGATGAAAGATTCTGTCTCTCCTTTCTCTATAATTCTGCCTTTCAAATAGACAACTATTACCCCCTCCAAAAAAAAAAAAAAAAAAAAAAAAAAAAGCAGATTCTCATCCTGGAGATGAGAAAGAACGATTACAAGGGATACAAGGAAACTTTTGGGGGTGATGGATATGAAATCCTAGTTTTACAGGTATCAATATACCTCCAACATTAACTCTTCATACTTTAAAGAAGTGTAGGACCTGACTCAAGCACTAGAATCCCATATGGGCATGAATTTGTGTACTGGCTGCTCTACTTCCCATCCAGCTCCCTGCTTGTGGCCTGGGAAAGCAGTAGAGAATGGCCCAAAGCCTTGGGATCCTGAACCCACGCGGGAGACATCGAAGAGGCTCCTGGCTTCAGATCAGGTCAGATCAGCGCTGGCCATTGCAGCCACTTGGGGAGTAAACCAGCAGATTAAAGATTTTTCTCTCTTTCTCTATGTAAATCTGTTTTTCCATCAAAAACAAATAATTTTTTGAATGTAGTTTTTCATATGTTAAGTATAGTTCATTAAGAGTGCTGAAGCTTATGCTGATCTCTGGGTCCAATCCATCTTTCCCAAACTGGTATAGGGGTTCCCCTAGAAGTCAGAAGTCTTACTTACTCCCTCAGTAGCTACTGCTTTGTGACTATCACTCCCTCCCTTCTTCTTCTATTTGAAAGGCAGAGACAGAGGTTTGCTGTCCACTGATTCTCTCCCCAAATGCCTGCTACAGCTGAGGCTGGGCTGTGCCCACAGCAAGGAGTCCAAGCCTCAGTCTGGTTTTCTCACAGGGGAGGCAGGCACCCCCCTAACCAAGCCATCGCCCTCTGCCTCCCAGGCCGTGCTTCAGAAAGCAGTGGAGGACCAGGTCTCGGGCACTGTGACAAGGGATGCAGGTACCAAGGTGTCTGACTTGATCCTGAAGAGCAGTGGTCCTTCCTCCTGTCTTACCACTCCCAGCCTAGATTCTACCCCACACATATCATTTTCCTCCATCTCTAGTTTGGGGGCTTGTGCTTCCCTATCTGCCCTGGTAATTCTAGAGGGGAAATGGATGACCAACGGCTTTTTGGTTTTCAATTTTCCTGACAAGACTCAAGTCTTTCTACTTCATCACCACTCGGTCTTCCATAGGTTTCTGAAGCAGTCCTCGGTTACAACTGTACTTGCCCAAGTCCCCTAAGAACTCCCAACTACATTACTGGACCCTAATGTTCTCTCCTGGACACTTCTTTACAAGACCATGGCCTGGCAGACAAGGCGCCAATGGGGACACTTTCATCCCATGTCGCAGTGTCTATCTTCAAGTTCTTGCTCTGCTCCCAATTCTAGCATATTTGGATCCCTGCCAGTCAAGGGCCAGACCCAACTGCATTTCCAGCTCCTGGCTTCAGCCTGGCCTAGCTATGCTAAACACAGGAGAGGGGAACCAGTAAATAAGAGTGTATCTGTCTGTCTGTCTGTCTCTCTCTCAAATATACCCAAAGTATCTAGTTAAATCAAACTGAGGTGTTCTGATGTTCTATTGTACAGTAGGGTGACAATAACAAAAATGTACCATGTATTTCTCAAAAAAATAAAAACCTAAAAGAAAGGATATTGAGTATTTTGACTAGCAAGAAGTGCTAGCTGTTTGACAAGTTACATTTGCCCTGTTTTGAAGGTTATACAATGTGTACATGTATCAAAACATGACATGGTTACCATATACATATAATTGGGAAGTAATCAAAATGCTTTCAATTAAAAATAAAAGGAAATCCAACATTGAATGTATAATCCTCCCAGTGCTTCTGAGCCGAGTCCAAGCCCGGAGCCCAGATTGCCCGAGATGACCAGGACTATCAGGTTCTGCCTCACTCTGCCAGAAGGAGGGTTGAGAATGCAAAGCCATGGCTTCTCATTTGTCACCTCCGCTAAGGCGCCAATGCCCTGCTCTGGCTCTCCATCCACCTCGCCATCCTCATCTCCCACCCTTCCCCTGCTGGCACTCGCATCCAAGCCATGTCAAGGCCAACGTCACAGACTCCATCACCTGACACTGTCTGTGCCTGTCAATGATCCTGCCAAACCCCACTTCTACCTCTACCCAAAGTCACTTACTATCCAACCACCGACACCTAACTTCCCTTCCCAGGCACAGCTCTAGCCACACCTGCTTCACAGCATGACAACTCAAACTTTACCATCATGTTACCAACAACCTGAATATCAGACAAATTCCTTGAGGACAAAATCTATGACTGTCATTTCTATACTCCTAGTCCTTATTCATTGCCTGGAGTGCTGCCAAAGAAGTTTACACTTCATTTGGATTATTTATAAAGGGTGCACTAGATACACGAAAAAAAGGTTTTGAATACCAAGATCATTTTAAGATTTCTTTAGACTCATTCTAAGATATTAGACAAAAAGAATGCTAGAGAAAATTGTTGGATATAAGATATTTTCAAACCCAACAGATGCTGCATAGAACACTTGAATACAAGATATATCTAAACTCATTGTCTAAACTGAACCACTCTTAAACTGCGACACAGATTTCATGAATGGAACAACACAGAGAAGGCACTAGTGCAGGCACAGCGGACCAGCTAATGCCTTGTTGGGTGTTCACATCTAGGTGCAGTAAAGCAAACAGGATAAAAATGAGCCAAGGCCAGGATGCGTGTTCTAAACACATGATGGTTCTCCTCCTTGCCCCTCTGTGGAATGGGCTGATCATTTCAACAGCTAACTTTGAAGCAAGCATCAGCCAAGCGAATGTTAACGACCGTCCTCCCTCTCCTTTCTTGCCTCCACTTGAACTTCAAAAATCTGGTGCTTCCAACAAATATGCCTTTCGTAAACCTTAAAATGTTACTGACCTAAAGCTTCATGTGGACACACCAGCTGCAGAGTATTCTCACAGAAAAACAGCTTTCAGGTGCTCACCGCATCATGCCTCAAGGTTACACCATGCCAATAATAAGAAGTAAAAAGCTGCAAAAGCCCACGCTGTGAAGTGTGAGGTCCACCTGGTCCATAAAGGATTGTGTGGCTCGAAGGACACTGAATTTGCAAAATAAATTAATACTAATGACAGTAATATAACGAAGCCCTCTAGGTGCCTTGCTGCCCAGCCTCTGGGATTCACAGAAGCTGTGGCTTGGAGCAAACTCCTCCTACTTGAAGAGCAGAACTGCTGGGTCCCCCGTTTTTTGTTTTTTTGTTTTTTTTTTTTTTTTTTAATCAGGGAGCCAGAGGCTGTGTGCAGCAAGAAGCCACTAGGGCAAAATGCAAACCTTGCAGGCACGTCTAAACTCTGGAGGTACAAAGCACACAAGTGCACGCCGCCGGAGGGCGAACAGCCAGCTCTGTTGAGGCGTGCCAACTTGGGGGGGGGGTGTCTGAATGCGCCGATTTTCAGCCAAGCCCCCCACAATTCTCCAACCTTTCCAAGACCGATTAGAAAGAAGCGAGTCAGCCGAGTAAGGTGGGGGGGCTCGCCAGGGCGATGACCGGGTAAGGAAGAGGACTGGCCTTCCCACCCTCTCTGGGAGAGAAGGAAATGTGGGACCGTGGTGGTCCCCCAGTCTGGCCTCGCCTTGGTGGGCAAGGCGGGTGGTGGTGGGTGGGAAGAAAGCGCGGGCATCCGGGAAGGGTAGGTGGGCGAGGCCGCGGCGGGCTGGGGGCTCCGACCCCTAGGCCCACCCGGCCGAGGGGCAGCGGCGGCCGCCGGGTCACGCCCAGAGGCTGCACCGGGCTCCTCGAGGGGAAGCTGCTCCAAGTCCCCGCGCGCGCACACCACACACACTCACACACACTCACACACACACACACACACAAAGCTGCCGCCGCGCCGGGCTGGCTGCGCCCAACTTCGGGGTCAGCGGGGCCGGCCGCTGCCCACCCGCCTGCCCTCTGCTGCCCACCCCGAGCCTCGCGCGGGAGCCGTTACCGTCAACGGAGCCTCCTCCCCTGGGGACAGAGTCCCGGTTCCCTCCCGGCCCGCCACCTCTCCACCCAGACAAGAGAGGGAGAAAAAAAAAAAGTTCTCTGTGTCCGGACGCCCTGAGGGAAGGGAGGAGAGGGCCGGCGATGGGGTCGCCCCGGTCGGACTCACCAGGGCTGCTCCCGGAGCTCCGACCCGCGCGGCCGCTCGTAGCCACAGCTTCGGCTGCTGCTCGGCTCTCTCCCTCTCCGCCGACTGGCGGCACCACCTGCGCCCCCCCAACCTCCCTTCTTCCTCAGCACAGCGGGTCCCGGCGAGCCATCTTCCCCTCCTCTCACTGACTGACAATCCAGCCCCGGAGAGCCGCCACTGCCGCCAGCCACTCTGACAGGCACGGCCGAGGACCCGTCTCCAGGCAGCCAACCACCACCGCCCCACGCCAGTGGAGCCTATCGTTGTTCCCCGGGGCGGGACCAGAACAACTTCTTCACCAATGAGAACCGCCCGCTGCTGGGTGCGGGGAGGAGCGTTAAGGAGGAGGGGGGAGGTGGGCGGGAGGACAACCCGAGTGGGCGTGGTCGATCTGTGGGCGTGGCCGTTGGTGGGGATGATTGACGGCGGGGGGGGGGGTTTGTGGTCGCGGCCAGAAGATAGCATCCCCAGTCAAGGTTTCATGCCTTAAGCCTTTGGGGCTCACGCAGGCCCTGCTCAAGATGGTGTGAACTGTCATCAGAACAGGGAACAAATGATGTGTCCATTTATTGTCCGGGAGCATTTACTCCCTAGTCATTAAATTCAAAGAATATTTCAAAATCTTCCTCCACAATCTGAAAAGGAAAAAAAAAGTACGTCTTTTGCAAAACAGTAATTTTTTTTAAAAAAGCCCTATGGCTCCCTTGCCTGTTATTGCTTAAGGACTGGATTCTGAGCACGTCTAAAACAGCTCCTGCATACAATTATATTCCTACCATTTTCAACCTTTTAGACGCCACCTGCCATATCCCTTAGGAGTCCAGTTGGGACTTTGTTAGAAGAAAAAAAAAATGGACCTCCAATGGCGCTTTACTCCAGAAGCAGAAAGGATGTTTCAAAAGCACCAAGTCTTCTTTCCAACATGAGGCACACATTCATAGTAGCTATACAAGTTAAAGTATATTCTACTAAACTCCGAAGGGTGTAAAGCAAACAACTTGGGGAGTGACTGCTAGAACCAACACAATTCCCCAAGCACCCCCCACCCTACTCCCCACACTCGGGGAATAAATAAATTTATAAGAACATCATAGCAAAATGCACCGCTAAGGGCACCTGTCTTGGGTTAAACGAGCAAGGATAACCAAGACCAAGGAAGTACTACATTTCAGAAAGTCAGGGAACTTGCAAGCTCCAAGGGCCAGTGGAAGTTTGCAGGGAAGCAAGTCCAAGGACAGCTCAGACAGAGACACAGAGCTGTGAGAGGACTGGGAGTGGTTGGAGCACCTTGAGAAAATGAGCTGGCCTGCAGGGCGAGAAACTGCCAAGCGGTGGGGAAGAATGAACGTGCAAGAGACCTCAGGAGTTGGGATAAACTTCTGAGATCAGTGCTGTCCAGTCACGCTCTCGGCAGTGACAAGAAAGCTGCTTCTGTATTTGTGTTGCTCAAATTGTGACCTCATGTCGCTGCCTACAACAGGTGGCCCTTGGCAGTGATGTGGGGCCAGACTGAGTCATACAGTTTTGCTTTCTTTTAAGAATGTCCACATTGTACAGTTGTGTTTGGATTTGGTTCTTTAAGTCACCCAGGACCATCACAAGTTTTTTTTTTTCTTTTTGACAAAATATTTTTTAAGATGTGTTTGTTGGGCCTGGAGCGGTGGCCTAGCGGTTAAAGTCCTCACCTCCAACGTGCAGGGATCCCAAATGGGCACAGGTTCTAATCCTGGCAGCTCCACTTCCCATCCAGCTCCCTGCTTGTGACTTGAGAAAGTAGTTGAGGGCGGCCCAAAGCCTTGACACCCTGCACCTGTGTGGGAGACACTGAAGAGGCTCTTGACTCTCGGTTTCGCAGCTCCAGCCGTTGTGGTCACTTGGGGAGTGAATCGTCAGATGGAAGATCTTCCTCTCTGTCTCTCTTCCACTCTGTGTATCTGACTTTCCAATTGAAAAATAAATAAACCTTTTTTTTTTAAATGTATTTATTTTACTTAGAAATCAGAGTTACAGAAAGAGAGAGAGGGAGAGCAACAAAGAAAGAGACAAAGATATTTTGTCTGATGGTTCACACCCCCAAATGGCTGCAATGGCCAAAGCCGGGCTGGTCCAAAGCCAGGAGCTTCTTCAGAGTCTCCCATATGTGTGCAGGGGCCCAAAGACTTGTGCCATCCTCTGCTGCTTTCCCAGGTGCATTAGCCGGGGGTTGAATCACAAGTGGAGCAGCTGGAACTCAAGATGGCCTCAGAGGGTCTGTCATCATTGCAGGCGGCAACTTGCCGTCTAGTCCACAATGCCCCACTCCTAACAGGTGTAATTTCTAACAAGAACAATAAAAGCCAGAGTAGAATGCTGTTGAGGATAAGCTGGGAAGATCAGAGCAGATATTGGCAAATGATTGACATGACAGTTTAGGGTCCCCTGGGTCCAGCCTGGTGAAAGGCAATGTTTATCCACAGGAATAGGGACAGAAAGATCTAGAAAGTTTGTTTTACCCTGACATCTTAGCATACACATGCAGTCAAATCCCAAAGAAGCTGAATTCTGCCACGGAGTCCTGGGCTTGGGGGAAGCCAGTGAGTGAGAGAGCAAATCAAGGCCGTGATCAGTAGAAAAGCAAGAGGAAGCAAGGGAGTGGGGGGGGGGGTGTATGCACGCATACACACCCACACACAGCTTTGCTGGTCATTGGCTGTGTCTTGGCCTGATCTGAAGAGCACGGGTGTCTAGAGGCAGAACCGGTAAGTCCCTGAAGCCAGGTGGGCCACAAGCACACTTGAGGGTGGAAGGAAGGAACAAATATTGACCTTCTGCTACAGCACAAAGCAATCAATTCCATCAAGGACACAAATGACTGCTTAGAAGCTTACAGCAGAGATGGCTGGATAACGAGCAGGTGAAAAGGTAAGCACAGATGAGTCATCCACTGCGACACTGAAAGGGATGACTCCGAGGCAGTGAGAACCGATTCAATGGTTCAGTGATTTTTCTAGAGGAGGGACAGGTCTACGTTGCAGTGACCAAAGGGAGGGATTGTGAAGGAGGCAAAAACCAAGCGGGGGAGCCTGGGTCACGAACTGATTTAAGAGTGCAGCTTGATTCGAGTCCCATTGTATAGGAGGAAAACTTCCTCTGCCTCCGTCTGTTTATTGGGATCACTTCAGAAGCCCATTAAATACCAGTGCCCAGACCACACCCACACCCGGTGAATCGGAAAGTCTGGGTGTGGTGCAGAGAGAAGAGAGCCTGAACAGAGACTTTTTCTTTAAGAAGCCTCCCAAATGATTCTCATTTAGACCCGAGGTTGAGGACATAAGTGGGAAGGGGTGGTGACATTAATGTCATTTGACTAAGGGGAAATCAAGACTGAGCCCAGAATGGACTGAGATGAAAGCAGCGGAAGTGTGTGTGTGTGTGTGTGTGTGTGTGTGTGTGTGTGTGTGTGTGTGTGTGCATATACAGTTTGCTTCCTTCCTACAAGAAGACAGGAAGGGAGAGGTTTACTGCCTGATTTCACTTCCGGCTTTTTTTTTTGCAGTGGTAAAATGATATACAAAGTCGTAGGTTACATCTTTCCTCTAAGAGTAAAATCAAAACCAATATTTTTGTTTGTTTGCCGTGTGCTCTCCTTTCCATCACAACTCATGCATTCACCAATAATTTCCAAATGGTAGCACTGTTGCCATCGGCCACTTGTATGTCAGTAGGCAAAACCCTAGGAAAACACCCAGGAGAACATTTGTGTTTCAAGAAGGAAATGCTTTTAAACTACTTCATGAAAGTCAGCATATTCCTGACCTTTCCTACGTGTCTTGGTTTAGTCTCCCGTATCCTTAGGCGAAGTTTTACAGGAGCTCTCAACAGTCATTTAGGCCCTAACAAGCAGGTTTGTAAAAGCTTACCAAACGAATTTACAAGAGAAGTTGGAGAAGGAAGAAGCAAGAGCATTGTCTCTGTGAAACAAAATTTCAGAAGCTAAAAAAAAAAAAAGGAAAGTAATTTAGTAATCCATTTTAAGTGAAAAGGGAGTATTTTTGTTACGAGAGATGAGTCCAACTGCTTCTTTAGTGGTAAGTGAAATGTATTAAAACACACGTATACATATCAGAACAAAGAGTGTAGCTAAAAGGTCACTGTTCGGTCAGCTTCTCTTTTTCTAGGGGGAATTTCCCCCAACCAGTTTCCCCAGTGAGGCAGCCACACACCTGATCTATGCTATACGACCCAGTAGCTAGAACCAGAGAACCTGAGGCTAGCTAAGTTCATGGTCACACTGTGCCCACACAGATCTGGGCTGACCAGACACACTCATTCTCTTTCAAGAACGGGAAAGAGAAAGAAAAAGAGAAAGAGAAAAAAACGTGTGTGGCGAGTCACATCATTAGGATGGGCTGGTGAGATCCTCAGGGCCTAATGAGATAGATAACCTGGTTCCTGCAGCCGTACTGGATCCACCAGCTCCCGGCATCTGCATCCCAAGTGCAGCTATTCAAGAGTTCCATGAGATTCCAACTTCGCCACCTGATGCATCCGAAATGAACTGTGGCATTGTTCATTCTTGTGTAAACCAAGAATTAGAACCATGAGCTGTGTTGCTATGACACATGACTTTTGGTTTTTATTCATAGTTCCTGGTTTATATTCCCTCAGTAACCTCCACCGCTTCCTAACAACTAGAACAAGAAGCATGTAGTTTGTTAAAGTATTTGTCCTTTTGTCTCTGGTTCCTGAGGCAACTTTGGGACAGCTGCAGAAATGATAAACATGAAAGAGAAGGGCCAGTGCGGTGGTGCAGTATGCTAATCTTCTACCTGGCCTGTGGTGCCACTCTCCCATAGGGGCACCAGCTTGTGTCCTGGCGGTTTCACTTCTGATTCAGTTCCCTGCTGATACACGCAGAAAGCAGCAGAGGATGGCTTAAGCGCGTGGGCGGCTGAACGCACGTGGGAAACCAGAGGAAGCTCCAGGCTTCCAGCTTTGGACCAGTCTAGTTTTGGCCATTGTGGCTGACTAGGTAGCAAACCCGAGGCTAGAAGGTTTCTCTCTGTGTGTCACGCCTTCTCTCTCTGTAACTCTGCCTTTCAAATAAAAAAAGAAGCAAATCTTAAAAAAAAAAAAAGTAAAACATGTACGAAAGAGAACAGTTTCTTGTTAGAAT